TATATATATATATATATAAAGTTGTATAATTACAAATAGATTAGTAGTTTATTATAATAGTGTATAACAATAACAATATTTGAACAGCAAGTCAATGTGAATTAGGCGTAACAGATTGTAATTCAGAATGTAACCAGTTCATCCAATCATAAGATGCTTCCTTCTCGAGAGTGACTTCTTGAAAAATTTCACTTCTTTCTACCTAAATTATAATTTTATCTATATAGTAGTAATGAAATATTTAGTGAAAAAATGCGACTAAAGATCAAGTTGTTCAACTTACTTCTCGAAAACCAAGCTTCTCAAACATATTTATGCTCATTACATTGTCTGATTTGATTTTGGCACGAAATTTATTAATATTCAATGTTTCGAAGCCTGTGGGGAAATAAATATAAATTAGCATTAAGAAAAGAATATTGAAACTATAGCTGTTACTATCAAATTCAAATTACCATAATGCATCATAAGAATAACAGACTCCCAGCCTCTCTTTTTGCCTCGATGTGCCTCATCAGCTATCATAATCTCTATTTCGGCAATATTTGATTCTTGCGAATCGTTAAAGAATAAATTCGTGTCTCCTATCATGGCATCTGAAATGAATTATTCAATGGAAAAATTCTATACTGTAATCTTGGCGCAACCTTCCATGTATACCTATTTCGCTTCCAGTGGACAGGAAGACACAGTTATCCAGAATAATGAAGGTGCACTCTGCAACAGCTTGAAGCTCAAGTTACTCGGTACAACATGGACAACGTTGATACCAAATTAACGAATAATTACTATCTTCATCGTCGAGCCACCGCTTTTGCATCTCGAACTCCTCTTCTAACGTTAACGGTTCGGAGCCTGTCAAATATTGCAACGTTGGATTCTTCATCCATTCGTGATACCTAAATGTAATAAATTTCGCATGAATCATTCAACGAAATTAATTCTTACGTATAGAATATATAAAGAAGGAAAGAAAGTGGTATAATATAACGATACAAACTTTACGACGTGCTTCTCTTGATACGGTACCAGAATGACATTTGTCCCATTGATACGAGTATTCATATTCTTCCTCATGATATTATCGAAGAGCTAAAATAGAAATAAATTTATACGCGCTTCGATACGTATTTCAATCGAAAATTAAATTTTTATTTCACACCTTCAAAAGAGAATAGAGGTTATATTCTTTAAGCTGTCAAACTGTCAGCTGTCAGTATCTTACGATGTTTTATCGACGCGTATCGAGAGTAAATCTAAGACGTTGTCCTTTCCTTGACGACGGGCGGCGCCACGATAGCGCCGCGAGCCGCTTGACGTTAGCTTCCCGCCACGCCGGATGGAAGCGCACCTGTCTGTTAGACAGATCGTACAACTGTCAATCCGGCACTGACGGCAAGGACTGACTCGCCGCGTTCGCGCTGTTTATCTGTCAGAGGCGGCAGCGGCGAGAAGGGACGCGCGCGAGACCGAGAACGACAGCGGCGCATCGGTGCAGGATCGGAAAGCGTGGGACGGACCCGGAACGCTTAATTACACGTCGGTGAGTGTCGTCGCGTGTATATATTTCTTTATTGCCAGCGCGTGCCGCCGCCGCCACCGCGTCATCGTCGCCGCGTCGTCCGTGCCGCGCGAAAAGACGCGCGCGGGAGAAGAGCGCGCGCAGAGCCAACCACGCCGCATGGAAGCGTCGTGGCATCGGATCTTTTGACGCGAGGGAATTCGCACGACGCACGTGTTTTCAAACGTGTTTTTTTTTTTCGTCGGCCGGCCTGGACCCAGCGTCTCGCTGGGACGATGACAACGTCAACGAGATAAGAAAGACGACGCAGCGGTGGCGGCGAGACAGCCTCGGCGTACGCTTCGACATTCGTTGACTTTTGACCGATGAAAATTCTCTTTGACAGCTCTCCCTCTCTCTCTTCCTCTCTTGCTCTCTCCCTCTTTCTGTCCGACGATCGTAAACAACGGCCGACCGCACGAATTTGGGTCCGATTCGCCTGGCACGCTTGACCACATAATGGATCGTATCGGTGAGTGTCCAGAGAGATATTTCTTTAATATATTATAATATAGTATGTATATCTGTGTATATATACGCGCACGCACACCGGCCAACGCGCGGCATGTAGGCATTTCGGTGTGAGACGCCACCGCGCCGAGCGAGCCAATGCCATGGAGCGTAGGCACGTGGTGCTTGACTTGAGAGGCGCGCCGCGCGGGCTTCCTGCACGAGCCGACCCGGCTGTCTACGGGGCTTACTCGGCTCGCCGCAAGGAATCGAGCACACATTGTAGTACAACTGTCAGATTTCGGTCTTTTGTCAGCGCGCCGACCCGGACAAATATTCCTCGCGCGTATCTCGTACCTATCGTCCAGCCTGGTGCGGATCCCTGTCGAGGATCCGTTTTCCTGCCCGAAAGAGCGAGACACGTTCCCTCGATCGCGAATCGTTGCCGATCGTTTCGCGGCTATAACGTCAACGGAGCGGACGAGGAAAGCACGTGTTTGTAAACGCCGCGAAAAAAGCGCGATCGACTTGTCCTAGCCGGTATAACTCGCGTGCATGTGTGTCTGTCGTTTCTCTTCGCAATCTTTTTTCCATTCGGGCTATGTGGCAAAGAAAGCGTCGTCATATTTTCGTAGACGAGGCTATTCTTTGTTTTTTTTTTTTTTCGTATCGCGCGCATTCCGCTCGCATCGACAGCGACAGATATTATACATCGTGTATTCGCAGAATGTGTTGTTTTTGCACTCTGAAAATATTATAATTTTTATACAAGAAATGCCCTTTTGTCAGAAATACGATCTCTTATACTATTGACAGTTCGCCTTCCTCAGAGAGAAATGCAGATAAATAGATTTCGTATTTTCTAAATTCAAAAATCCTGCACAATCACGCGAATTTAATTTCGGAATATACCTGTAGATATTTTGAGAATTTTTATATCATGGACAAATTTCAAAAAGCTCGGAATACATATACCCGTGCACGGGTGTGTATTCTAGCGTTGTAAAAAAAATGTGTGCGTAACATAAAATAGCTTTTAAATATCTTCAGGTAAGCATAGCTCGCATAAGTTCTAACTGCAGAAAATTGAAGAAGGATTCGTCTTTCTTTTGTCAAGATAGACGTACTTCCGGTGGAAGAGAAATATTACCTCTGTCTAAACACATGCGAAAAATTGTTCTCCTTTAAGTGAGAAAGCGTCTCTCTCTCTCTTCGTTTTTTATTTCTATTAAAGTTTGACAGATATTTTTCAATTAATCTGATGATTTATTTTAATAAAATTTTTGTGTTTTTTCCGAGACTTTTTTATAATAGGTATTTGAATTAAATGCGATTCTCTCTCTCCTATCTCTTTCTTTTTTCTCTCTGTATCTATTATTTATTGTCAATTTGCTTGCATTTACAGTATTAAAAATTTACCACAAGTTTTACGATATTTTTCCCTATTTTTTTTTCCTTCAAACTATGATCTCATAATATCCGTCACTCTTCGTTCCGTATCTCGCGTCCTCGAGGAGTTTGCGCCGCGTGGAACAGCGGCTCGATGAACGGTCATAAGTCCGGAGAAGAGTTTATAAATTTCATCCCCGCCAATTGCGATCTGGAAGCGATGACATCGGGGAAAAAAAGACATATTCTTTAGAATGAAACGATACAAACGTAGATATATTTAAAAAAAATAGGTATTCAATTTCTATCTGTATTATTGAAAATTTCCGTGGATGTGTGAGTTTTTATAATTATGATTATTTTGGGACCACAATTAGAATTAAAAGGACAGTGAATATTTTATATTATTGCTTCCTTTATAATGTCCGCTTTAAGAGCAAATATAGTACAACGTACATCGGAAAAAATTTTACGAATTTAGTACAAATTACATAAAAAATATATTCCCTTTTTACATTTATTGTAAAGCTGAAATATAACGACATTAAAACATTTATTACTATAAAAATTGTAAATTTTGCATTTGTTCTATTTTGTTAACGGTTATGCATTTGTATCAAAAAATATTTGAATAATTACAATACTTCTTTATAAAATATAATATATATGTAATATTATTGAATAAAATATGGCGTAATTTCTTTTATATGTTAGTATGTTCCACAATTACAAAAAATATATATTGTAATTTTTACTGTAACATTTCCTCCATGCATGCAGTCGTTGGGATAAATGTTTAATTGAGTAAATTTAGAAGTGACCGAAATTGTAATATTTAGGCACTTTGCATCAGTTCCGTTGTAATGTATTAATACATTAGGGCTCTTATCGTCATCACGACACATACAAGCGCGTCCACCACTAATGAGCAGTTTCTCAATGAATGGCGACGGAACACCGTGACAACTATTGTCATCGGGTCATTAAAAGTCAACGTCGTTCACGGAAATGCATAATGATATATGAGTTGAGGCTAAATCAACGGGCAGTATATTAAAAATAATCCTTGTTTTCTGTAAATCTGTACAATAATTGATTTTAATATGTACAATCTACAGTTCTACAAAAAGAAAACCGCATCTAAATATTTAAAGTGCTAGACGACTGTTAGCTTTCAGAAGCCAAGAGCTAGTTTCATCTTATATATCCAAGATATTCTTTTTTACATATCTCGAAAATATTTATAAAAAAATTTCAATCAAACGGTCTTGTTATTTTTCCAGACAATGTTAAATGAATAGCTAACTATCTCCCCCTCCTCTCTCTCTCTCTCTCTCTCTGCGTGCACGTGTGTGAGACGTTGTTCTCTTTCAATACGTGACGAATGCATTTTACGATGAAAATATTCATAAATTGTTTTTATCTTTTCGAGATGTCATCTCCCTCTCTCTCTCTCTCTCTCTTTCTCTCGTGATTTAAAAAAAAAAATTTTCAATCATCTTGATGAAATCGAAGGGCGAGAAATAAGTAATGTATTAATACATTAGGGCTCTTATCGTCATCACGACACATACAAGCGCGTCCACCACTAATGAGCAGTTTCTCAATGAATGGCGACGGAACACCGTGACAACTATTGTCATCGGGTCATTAAAAGTCAACGTCGTTCACGGAAATGCATAATGATATATGAGTTGAGGCTAAATCAACGGGCAGTATATTAAAAATAATCCTTGTTTTCTGTAAATCTGTACAATAATTGATTTTAATATGTACAATCTACAGTTCTACAAAAAGAAAACCGCATCTAAATATTTAAAGTGCTAGACGACTGTTAGCTTTCAGAAGCCAAGAGCTAGTTTCATCTTATATATCCAAGATATTCTTTTTTACATATCTCGAAAATATTTATAAAAAAATTTCAATCAAACGGTCTTGTTATTTTTCCAGACAATGTTAAATGAATAGCTAACTATCTCCCCCTCCTCTCTCTCTCTCTCTCTCTCTGCGTGCACGTGTGTGAGACGTTGTTCTCTTTCAATACGTGACGTTATTAAGTCGTTAATTTATTTAAAAAAAAACTTAATTAATCAGTTAATACATTTATTTATTTAAATATACTTTGTATAAGCATATATATACTTGTCGTTTACTCGGAAATATACAATATATATTCAGATACAGCGCGGGACCTTGTTAAAAAGATTTGATATACGATAACCGCGCGTACAGCGACCGTAACCTTCGCCCGCGGGTTCCTCCTGGACTGGACCTCACGACATGAAATTCCTGCGACAACAATGTACGTAGAAGATGCGTGAAATGCGGTAGTTTATAAAACAAAACGCAGTGGAGATGCGCGGGAAATGATAGCGGCGTGAATGCCGATTATAGAAACGCGACGCCTCTAATCGCGCTGTCTTCTTATTCTCTTCTTCCGCGTTATTTCATCTTTTCGCCCCTTCTGCCCCCCCCCTTTACACACACACACACACACACACACATACCATATATATAAAATATATATTAAACGGATATATTAAACAGGCGGATCGCCAACGAATCGAGGCGGTTGTTCGCGGCTGTCCCGCTGACCCCTGAAATCTTGCATTTTCTCTATTTATACCCGGTTGTTCCCGGCCCGACCTCTTAATAGTGAGGGGGAAACGTTTCGAAAAGGCGATGGTGCTCT